AGTGAATTATTATCAAATGAGAATTTTCTATTAAAATATCCAAGAGATCATGCCTTTAATTAAAAAATAATAAAATTGTAGCCAGAAGATTATGTTTTAGTAGGATATTTATACATATTATGACAGGTTAATAAACAAATGATTGATGTTTGGGAAAATGCCTATGGTGCAGAATTGAAAATATTGAGATTAGTACAATTCAATTAATAAGGTGTCCCATCATTAAATGTTAATTTATTAAGAGTATTTAAAAATAATTAGATTAGCAACCTGTTTACATCAATGTACAAAATCCTAAAAGAGGTATACTTTAAGTAGATGAGAATTGCATAATAAAATATTGGATTTAGTTGTTATTTGTGGCAGTGAAAAATGAATACTAAATTAAAGTTGAAAAAATAAGACTATGGAAACATAAGCATTATTAAGCTGATTATGCAATAAAATAGTTGGAAGAACATTAGGGACAATTTAATGGTGAAATATTAGATGAAAATCATACTGTAGGGTCTTATAAGACTGATTTAATAATTATTGATATTAAAATAAATGGGAAATGGTAATATGATTAAATAGAAATGAAAGTATACATTATTTTAATTTTAGATTGCTTGTTCTGAATAGTTTAAATATATTTATGAAAAGGCAAATAAAGGATGTGGCAAATTTATATGTGATAAGAATTATTGTTACAGTAATCCAATATTTTCATAAATTGGATTTGATAAGAAAACTTTATAATAATTTTTAATTGAATAATTTAAAGAGGAAATTATAGATTGGAATACTGTATGTTGGAATTAAGTTATAGAATAAAAACCAATATAATAATTTGAAGGTGATATAGTTGTCACTTTAAGTGCATTATCTAATTTTCCTAATAGTTTTGGAGCATCTTTTATTCTAAATTTTAATAATTGTTATGATGTAATTAATTACAATAATTTAAATCCTGAATTAAATTTATAAATTATTTAATAAGTAAACAATGTAATAAATGTCAAAATTCTTAGTTAATGGGTGAATAATTTAGTTTAAAATAAAAAATAAAATATATATTTTGTAAGATCAATAATTATTATTATGCATTTCAAATGTTTTAATGATCTTTTGCATTAAGAGTAGAATAGAATATTAGAAGCTTTTTTAACTTTAAGTGCAGAAGATAAAGAACTATTAGCTAATTATTTAATAATCTTGCCTGATGAATATTATATTAGATACATATAGACAATTATAGAAATTTTAGGAATATTCTTAAAAAAAGAATCAATGAAACAAATTTAATTATTAAAAAAAACTGAAATCTAATATGTTCAATCAATGCTTGAACTTTTATAAGTATTTTATAAATGTAATATAATTGTTAAAAGATTAAATCCTACTAAATTTTAAATAGTTGAAATTGCTAAATTATATCCAAAATATGGTGATTAATTGGAATACTTCTAATTTGATAGTTATATTAAAAAAGATTTAGAAAAATATTATTTTACTTTTTGTTAATATCCATGGGTTATACCATTGGAATTCAAAAGTGAAATTCTTGCAATAGATTCTAGAATGAATTAAAAAAGTTAATATGAAAGTTCATTAATGTTTTTTTAACCATATTTAAAATTATAGATTGATCGTAATGATGTTGTTAGAAGTGCATTAGGAGCACTATCAAGAGATGATATTAATTTAAAGGCTAAATTACAAATAGTATTTTTAGGGGAATAAGGAATAGATTAAGGTGGATTAGCAAGAGAATTTTTTTATTTATTGACATAAAAAATATTTGATTTGAATTTTGGAATGTTTGTTCCAAAAAATAACAATTCTATCTTATGGTTTAATAAATATAATATGGAAATGCCAATCAAATATGAATTAATTGGTATGATCTTAGGATTGGCTTTATATAATCAAGGTATAAATAAAGAAATAATTAGTGTATTTGGATCTCTAATTTCCATAAGTTGTATTTAAAAAATTAATGAATGAACCAACTTGTTTTGAAGATTTAAAAGAATTAGATTTAGAAGTTTATAAAGGACTTAATACTCTTGCAGAATATGAATAAGATAATATTGAGGATACATTTGCTCTCAATTTTACAATTACTGAAGCTGTATGGGATGATATTATTTCAGTTGAATTACTTGTATTATCTATTTCACTTACATTTAGCCTAATGGATCTTAAATACTCGTAAATCAAAAGAATAAACATGAATATATTAAATTATGCATTAACTATTATTTGAACGAATCAATTAAAACACCATTTAATTCGTTTAAAAAAGGATTTTGGAGAGTTGTTGAAGGGAATGGAATTAAATTGTTTTCAGGCTCTGAATTATAACAATTGATAGTTGGATAAAAACATATTGATCTATAAGAATTAGAGGATACAACAGAGTATGATGGATTTGATAAGAATTCTGAATATATTAAGTATAATATATTTAAAATATATTAATAGATCATTTTGGAGATTTTTACGTTCCTTAAATGAAGAATAATAAAAACGTTTTTTATTCTTTTGCACTGGTTCAGATAGAATACCTGTTGGTGGATTAAAATCATTAAAATTTTAGATTTAGAAACATGGAGAAAGTATTATTTATATAAATTAATTAAGATTCTGAGTAATTGCCTTCAGCCCATACTTGTTTTAATGTATTTTTATTACCATAGTATGATTCTATAGAGAAAATGATTATGAAATTATAAATAGCTTTGTAAAATTGTGAAGGATTTGGGCTTTTATGATATGATATGATGCTGCCAGCATAAATAGAATTAAATATATTTTTTTAATAATATATATATATATATCAATCTAATTTTTAACTATAAGTTCTAACTTTTTAAGTTGTAATCTAAAAGTCTCTAATAAAATTAATCTTTTTATAAATCTTTAATGCAATTTTAGAATCTAATGTATCAAATTTCAATTCTTTAAAATCATCTAAAAAAATAAATAATTATAAAATTACTTTCTTATCTAAAAGTAATATATAAAAATTAATTAGCAATACGGATATCAACAATATCTTCTATTAATCTTTCTGGAAACTTTGTGCCTGTATTTTTATTATTTAAAATCCTCTCAAATAATCCTAATATTATATTTAATTCATAAACCTAAATTTTCTTTCTTGTTCATATTATAAATTCTAAATTAATCTATACCTAATATTCTATCTTATCTTTTTCCTCTTTCATTAATTTTTACTACAGTAAACTTCTCATATTTAAATGCTTGAATATGATTTAATGGAGCATCTACATAATCATCTTATTCTGTGATTGTGTCTCTTCTTTAAGTATTAATTTATTATTATTCTGCTTAATCTGCCCAAGTCTTTTATTTAATTTAAATCTTTTTATTTTATAATTAAACAACTGGCATTCTTAAATCAAGATCTAAAATAGTGTCATCATCATTTAATTGAATAAGAAAGTTTACTTAATTAATCTAAAAATAGTTTATTATATATTACTTATTTATTTTTCTTGCTAATTTATGTGATAATATCTGCAACAATTGAATTCTTATCTAATTGAACCTTTGTAGTTACATTCTTTTCAGGTTTCTAGTCAATAATCACCACTTCAATTATAACCATATTTGGATTAATTTTTTCAAAGATTTACATATCATTTGTTTATTCTTTATAATTACTTATCTCAATAAGAGAAAAGATATTTGTCTATGTAGATAAGATTTCTTTCTTTTTATCAATAGCACCAAAAGCCATTTCTGCTTTAAATTCAAAGTCATCATCAACAAATCTAATTTCATAAGCATCAACATTATTAGGATATCTAAGCAATTTCTAATCAAAATTTTTGTTATTCTAATATTCAGTTATACTCATTCTTATAACTTATAGAACTGTAGTATTTTTGGCAACATTGATTTGAATATATTGTTGGGTATTAAAAAAGTATATTTTAATAGGTTTTCCTTGTGATGGTAACAACATACTAGTTCCCTTAGTATTTTTTATGGCTGCACCTAACATAGATTTACGTCCTTTAGCTCCATCCAAAAACTATAATACTTCTTCAGGAACTTTATTGTACTCTGTCATGTCAACAGTAGTTTAGCTCTTCTAAACAGGGACTTGGATAGGAGGTTGAACCTATTATTATTATCTTTTAGGAGGAGTAGCTCTTCTTTCAATTGAATCTTAACTCTCTAAACTATCTGGTTCACTGCTTATACTATCTTTCATTTAGGCAGATTGAACATTCTGTTTTAACAATTTAAGCATCTCATCTTCATTTAGATTTGTTTCAAGTTCTTCTAATTTAATTTCAGGAACAGGTTCTGAATCATAAACATATTTCTCAGGGGGAGTGTATTGGTCATTGAAATCCTCAGATAGCTCACATAAATACATCTTCAATGAGGCCAACTTGAATACTTTTACTATAGGCAATCAATTTCTCGATGTCCTTTCTATTGCTGATTTCCATTAATATTTAATATTAACAATGAGTAAATAAATATAAATTTTATGATTGTTTAAAAGTTAAGGAATCTAGGTTTGAGTAGGTATGACTAAATATATAATATAAATAAAATAATCATTAGATTTAAAAGAGGTGAATATTCAGTATAGATTTTTAATTTAATAACAACCAAAATTTAATTATTGAGCAACTTCATACTTAAATATAAAAAGAGATTATCAAAAAAGTCTTGTGATTTTTATTGAAAACAATTATGATTAATGTTTAAGGAGAATAGGTTAATTGGAATGTTTCAAGCTAATGAATTAAATGACACTTAGATAATTATATCAGACTCTTAAAAATAGAACAAACTCTATTTCATTTAATACTCAGTTGTTACCCATTTCTTATCTTAAATTAATTATAAATAATAGAATTTAAGAGTATAAACTGATACTTATAATTGATATTTTTTTATATACCATTTATTTAATAATAAAAAATGAATATTTAAGATAAACATTTCTTAAATATAATATATAAGGATCAATTTAATAATTTCTCCTTTATCATTTACCTTCTCATTACATAAAATATTGCTAATCCAATAACCAAAACCATTGCAAATGCTAATATAACCCATAATAATATATTGAATGTCTTCTCACTAGTAAGTCCTCTTGTTTGTACTACCCAAAAATAATCCACAACCCTATTTTCAACAAGATCTATTTATTCAAAATACAAATGAGTCTCATTTTAAATATATAAAATGCCTATACCATCATTATAACCAGTCTAATATACTGTGTAGGGTTATGCTGGATCTAAATTAAATAAATAATTTATAATTACAAGGCACTAATGGTGTAAAATATTCTTAACCTGCAGATCCTTCAATAATATATACTGGAGCTGCTGAATTCATAATTAAATGTTATTCAGGACCATCAGTTATAAGACCTGTATTATTTTATGATTAATTATATATAAATGGAGCATCCCTTTCATAATTATGTTAATGTGCAGACATATAAATTGCAACTCCATATTTACTGAATAATTCTGCAAATGGTTAAAGTGCAATAAAATTTTATGAACACATAGGATCAGTAGCATCACTACAATACATAGGATAATGACTATTTACAATAATCCAAGGAATTTAATCTCTGTTCTTGGTTGCCTCTATTAAATCATTTTCCATAATAGAAACCATAAAATCAATTTCAGTTTAATTGCATTCATTATATACAATATTTGTGGGATTATAAAATATATAATGAACTAATCCTAAATCAACACTATAAAAATTGTAATAATTATCTTATGTGTTAATTGGTTTTTCAGGAGATAAAAAAGAGATTCTATAAAAGTCGAATTCATAATTATCACCAGAATCATGATTTCCAGGAGTTGGTAATAAAGGATAATAAGATGTAAATGTAGTCATATTTCTTAACCACCAATCACCTTATTAACAATCCAAAGATTCTAAATCATATGCCATGTCTCCTTCAAATATGAGTACATCATAATCACTTTAATTATTTTGAATGGACTAAAACCAATCAAATGTTTATCTTGATTTATTTCCAGTCCAATTAGAATCCATGTCCCCAAAGAAAATTACTTTATGTACTTAGTTATCATATTCTTTTAAAGGTACTTTAAATTAATAATTGAGACTCTATTAATTTGTGTCTCCAAATATCTGATAATTATAAATTTAACCTAAATTTGGTAATATAGATTAATTTAAAGACACAATATTGATATATGTAACATATGTAAATTAGTAAGATGTATTCTCGTAAATCTAACTCATATTCAAAATTCTAACTTCAGTAAGAGATACTAATTCATCTACATTATTGTTATCATAAATATGAATATATCCATTTGGACAATAAGACTAAAATAATATAATTTTATAATTACTAAAGTATTATAAGCAATATTAATTAATTCATTTGAATTATTATAATTTGTATAATAGTATCCTAAGCTTATTCTTTATCCATATGGTTCACAATTACTTTCATTACTAGTTTATTGTAAAGTATTCTTAACAATAAATTCTTAATGAACTAATTCATTATTCAAATAATAATGATATTCTAATTTATTATCATTATGTATAAAGAAGTCTAATTTTATAACATCTTCTAACAATTTCTAATTTGTCTATAGAAATGTAACAAATTAGTTCTCCTCAATTTAAATATAAGTATCATATTTCAAAACACTCAATTTCTTCATACAAGAATATTTACCAATTAAAACAGTCCATTTACCAAATGTTTTTTATAAATCTTTAATAATCTTACCAATAACACATCTATTTATTAATATATAATGAATTGACTCCACATTTATATTTTGAGTAGCATCAAAATTTGGAACTTTAAATATTGATTTCTTATTTATAAGTTAATAACTTCCTTCCATTTCTACAATAGATATTGATTCTCTTCCATATTTTTTTGGTAATCTAAGAGTCAATTGCATATTTCCCAATGTTACATTATTATCCAGATTGAACTTAATCAAAAAATTGGATTCAATTGGAGCTGTATAAAAATAATACTATTAATCAACAAAACTACTCTCATATCTAAGTTAGATCTAATTGATTTTCATTGGTTTATCACATAATTCCTGCTTTCATTAAATAATTATACATAAGACTTGAATTGAATTTATGCCAAAATTGAACCATTATTTGTATAATAATCTCCAAGCAATATTTACTCATTAAATATCTAACATTGTTAAGTTATTAGTAATTATTATAGAATGATGATGATAAATAAATATAACATTTATAAATAATCATAAACTCAATTACTAACTAAATTAAATTGATTAGTAATTATTCTTTTAATATTTATTATCAAATAATTAAGACTAAAAGTAATCACAATTAAAAATAAAAGTAAAAATCAATATGAAAATAGAAAATAAAAAATTGAAATTGTTATACATTCTTCTTTTTTTTTATTAAACATCTATAAATATTTCATTTTTTATTACATAGTTTATGCTTATTTAAAAATAGAGTATATAATTTAATTAATTCTTATATTCCATATATCATTGAATTTATATTATGTAGTTTAAATTTATTACTCTAATCATTAAAAATAAAAGAATTAGACTTTAAAACGATTATATAATTAATAAAAAAATGGCAAAATCTAAAAATTTATTAGCGAATAAGTGTCATTAAGGTATACTAAAATATTATAAGCAATAATGGTTATAGATTATTTTAAATGGATATTAATTCTCTTAGATTAGGTCTAAATTTATCATTTTTACAAACAAGCAAGGGGGATTAATAAATTTTGATATCAAATTGGACTATAATATAAAATAATTATAAATAAAAATTGAAAGTTCTTTTGGAAAAATAATTCTATATTCTATAAATAAATCATACCAATCTTATTATTATAATGTAATAATAAATATGTATAATAATAACATAGAGGCTTAAAGTAGTATCAATTCTCATTTTTTAATTTAAACTATCTTAGAAATCAATTTAATTTACAAGTATTAATTTTAATTCTTTATAATAATAATAATAAAAATATAATATATTTATTATTATATAACTAAACAACTAAGGCAAGTTTGAGAAGACTTTATTAATTATGATTTTGGAAGATTCTAGAATTAAAATCTGATATGGATTTCAAGAATCTAATAAAATTATTTAATAAAATAATCATTAGATATGCAATCAAGAGACAACCATAGTTATTGTTTCTTCTAATAATTTATTTTTGAGTTTCTTTCCTTGATTTGATTTATAATATATAGAAACACCAGTAATAACCATTAAAACAGCAAAGATTACCCACATAGCAACTTCAAATCCATCCCGTTTTGATGTCTAAATAATAGAACGATCTAGCCATATAGAATCTATAACTTTATTATCTGCAACAGTGATATGTTCAAAATATAAATGTGTAGAATTTTTAACTGTGATAACTCCAACTCCATGATTTGGATTTTAAATCTCCATAAATGGGCTTTCTGGATAAGTTGAATTTTATTCTCCATAATCAGTTCCACCTGCCCCTTCTATTATTTACACAGGGTATTAATATTATGAATAAATATTATCATTCTTTAAATACTTTGCAGTTGTATTTTTATAATATGGTTTATTTCTTTGATAAGTATGGACATGACCACTTAAATATAAATCTACTTTGTATTCTACAAATAAATCTTCAAATGCTGATAAATATTTAAAATTGTTTATGCATTAATCATTTTTAGGAACTGCACAATATATTGGATAATGAGTATATACTATAATCCATGGAACATTCTCTCTATTATAATTTGCTTGAATCAAATCATTTCTCATTTGTTCAACTATTAAAGGTGTAATATTATAAAGATCATTTTGATAAACTGCTTTGATTGGATTAAATTATATAAAATGAACCATTCCAACATCAAAACTAAAGAAATCATTAAGATAATGTTAAGTGTTATATTCATTTAAAAATAAAGATCCAAAATTGGCTCTAAAAAAGTCAAAATTAGTATTATTTCCCCAATCATGATTTCCAGGAGCTGCCATAAAGGGATATCTACTAGTAAATACTGAAAGATTTCTGAGCCAATTATCTCCTTATTAACAATTTTTTGATTCCAAATCATATGCCATATCACCTGTAAATAAAATAGTATCATATCGTTTATTAGATTTTACTTAATTTTCTAACCAATTAAAAGTGTCTTTTGAATAATTTTTCACCCAATTTGAATCCATATCTCCAAACACTATCATTTTTTATTCATTTTATGCCTAAGGAACATCAAATTTATATGGACCAGATAATATTTAGTTTTATTTAGAAATTATAGTATAATTGTAGGATGTTGAAGCAGTGATGTCAATATTACGAAGACCAATCTTAAATGTGTGAATAAAGGTCTCATAGTTAAAATGAGTAGTCTCATTCTTTTCATATATTTATGTCATATTTAATAATTGAGTATCGTAGTATGTGATTTATGAAATCATTAATTTGTTACCAGATTTATTATCAACCACTTCAACTATAAACTAGTCTTTACATTCTTGCTAGAAATTATCAAAATATTTGATATACTTCTGTATTGAAGACTATTCTAATTAAATCTTAGGTATTTCTCAAATAACTAAAATAATGCCCTAAAAATAATCTAACACCGTAAGGCTAGCATTCTTACGATTAAATTCCTCCTAGTAGCAGTATCAGAATAATGAAAACCATGTTATATATTGATTTAAGGTAAGATTAATAATATATTAAAAAGTCATAATTCATAATAATATGACATATATTTGATGTCATAAATTACAAATTTATTTGCTATAATTTAATACTAAGTTAGTTCAAACTTATCTATTAAGTGAAATAGCTATTTTTAGTTATTTTTATTAATTTTTGTGTCTCTGGATAATCAAATTGGATAATCAAATTGAGAATGTGTATAATTATTTAGTCATCTTGATTTAAATAATGTTAAAATAAACAATTAAGAATCATTCTTGAGATTGATTAAATATTAAATGTTGTTTTACTTCATCCTTAAAATCCATAGTTTATTCAACTCCAGCAACACCCATCATTTAACAGAATTCTTCAAAACTAATTTTATTATCATGATTAGGATCAATTTCATAAATCATTTCATCTATTTTTTCATCTGATAATTATCTGCCATGTCTTGCTAATGCTTCTTTAATATCTTCTTTCATAATAAAATTAGCATCTTAAGTATCAAAATATTTGAATACAGACCATAACTAATTAATAATAATATATATTACTTTTTCTCTAGTTAATACTCTTCTTTCATCTATACATGCAGCCAAAAAGTCACTATATTTAATAACAAGTGGTTTGCTTGATTTAGTTGTAGATGCACAATCATTATCATCTTTTTCCTCTTCTACAATTTCAAATCCTACAAGTTATATCAATTATTCTATTTCTTCATGACTTATATGTGATCCCTATTTTTATTAGATTATTTATACTTCTTCCATTAATGCTTCTTTCAATTCTTATACAGTAATAGTTCCTGAATTATCAACATCTATTTTTTAAAATACTTATTTTAATCTCCCCAATTCTTTTTCATTCATTTAATTAACTAACACTTTCATAACTTCTTTCTTAAATTTAGCACCTATTCTGAATGTTTTCAACATTTAATATATTGATCTTTGATCATCAGATTAAGGTGATTTCATTGAAATTATAGTACTTTTTCCTCTTTACAATCTAACTGGATTTTGAAATTTTCTGCGGAACCAAGAATGACGAAGACAATCCTTTGCACTTGGTCTAATATTATGATTTTTATTCAACATTTTCTTGATTAAATCTTTAGCTTCATCACTAACATTATTCCAATGTCTCCTATCAAATATTAACTAAAATTAGATAATATTATATACATTTTGATATTAAATGTTTTCATATAAATCTGTTCTATTCTTACCATAAAATGGTGGATAGCCACATAATAAATGAAAAAGTAAAATACCCAAACTCCAAACATCACATTTTTCATTATATTTACCTTCAATAACCTCAGGTGCCAAATATAAAGGAGTACCTACAGCAGCCTTTAATTGTCTAAATTTATTGAGTTATTGATTACTTAAGATTGCTAGAGTCAAATTTTATAGCTAATCCAAAATCAATTAATTTTGGTTCTGCATTTGGATCTTTTGTTGAAAACAATATATTCTCAGGTTTTATATCTCTATGAATAATACCTTATTCATGAATATACATAATTGCTGAACATATCTCAATTAACATTAAATATTTACTTTAAATATAATGTTCTACACCTGACCTTCACTAAGATTTTTTTGACTCTTTTGTATACGTTCCACTAATTCACCTCCTTCACAATAATCCATAATTATGTAAAAGTATAGTTCATTTTGATATACCTCATAAAATTTAATTATATTAGGATGATCTAACTTCTATAAGACATAGATCTCATTTGCTAACATAGCTTCTCTTCCTCTTACTTTCCTCTTATCTATCATTTTAATTGCATATTGTTTAGAATTATTGTTTCTCATTTTGGCAACCAATACTTTACCAAAAGCACCAATCCCTAATACTTTACCAAAGGAATAAAGTTTATGAATATCAGCAGTGGATGTGAATACAAGATCTTTATTAGTTGTTTGCATAGCCACTATCCTATTTAGTTTTTTTGGTTATAAACAACCCATAACTTTAATTTTATATATTAAATATCAATATACATTATTATTTTAGTAATAAATCTTTGTAGAATTAATTAATAATTTCTCTTGTACATGACCATTATATTAAACTGTAACTTTATTCTTTGAAAATCAAAAAGATATTAATCTATATATTTCTTATATTGTTTATTTTACCTTTTTAATAGTAAAGTGAAATATATTTTGATTATATAAAAAACATATTTATAATCAAAGTTAAAAATATTTATATTAAACAAAAAATTAATAATCTATCATTTACTATTGATATAAATTAGAGATTTCATATATGATGTTAGTTAATTAGAAAAGAAATAAATATATAAAATTTATATTTTATATAAAAGAGAAATACAATATATTTTGAATTGATAAATCATTTATATTACTTTAAAGGTGATAAGGTATTATTTAATTTATTCCTTTCTATGGATTCCTTATGTTTTGTTTCTTTTCTATACTTTAAACTTAATATCAAACACCAAATACTAAAACAAATTAAGACTCCTACAAATACAATTGTGACTATATTTATGAAATAATATACTTTTTATTGTGACTTAATAATAGGTTGGTATTGGTTAGATTAATTAAATATAATCTAATTGTAAATACAATCTATCAGCAAAATAAGCTCCATTTTGAGGGAAAGGAGTGTTATCAATAACTAAATATATTTGTGCATCTGCTACAGGATAGTCTTTTTGATATTCAAAATTATTGAGACTTGCTTAACTCGAATTAAATAGGAAAAAACATTCTGTTTCCCAAGAACTATTATAATAGGCTTATAAATAGCAATTATATCCAGTTTGATCTAGAACGAATATATCAAATAAAGCAGAATCATTATAGAGTTTGGATATTGTAAATGATCCATTATGTGCAATTTGTGACTTCACTTTATAACCAGTTTGATTTAATTCAATTACAAAATAATCTAATTGATTAATTGAAATTCCTTTGGTATGTAAAATATAAATGGCTTAAACTTAGAGTAAGAATAATGCAAATAATATAATCATTTATAAAATAATTAATTTAATTTTCTTTGTTATCTTGTTTTAACAATAGAATTACTTTTCTATTAATAAATATTGTTAATTATGTCAACCTAAGATCCAAATTTGCTTTATCCTTATATTTTAATTGGTTATAGATTTGATTTATTGGATGGTATACTCATTTTTTTTGAATTATTAATATTAACACTATTAAGAGTATGAAATTTAATATTTGAATGAGATTTTGATTATCCTCTTTTAATTGATTATTATTATTATTGAGGCAATAATTATTATTGTTATAGTATTTCTCCATTTAAAAGAGATTTAAGTTTTTTGCTTGCTTATTCATTTTATTTGATTAATGGTTTATTTGATAATTTAGTAGTAGATTAATTTGATTATTGAGTATATGATTTTATTTATTTAGGAATTGTAATTTATTATGGTTAGAATTTATTTAAGAGAGAAATCAATGATTACTATTCTTCTTCTTATTTAGACATTGTTAATTGTAATATTTGTGTATATTTTATATCTACTTTATTATTATTATTTTAAGGTACCAATATTTTTAATTTATATTTGATTTATGTGTTATGATACTCTCTAAATATTGAAGATGATACTTTCGTAATTTATTGTAATTTTTCATTAACTTAAATATTGGGAGCATAAACATATTAGGTGTATCTAATCTGTATTTGTAGTATTCAGTTAAATCAATTAATTTAAATGTGATCTAATGATATCCATAATATTTCTTAAGAAATTCTTAATCTAATATCTCCTATGATTTCTCATAATAATCTATCACCCATTTTTTATGAGAATGTTTAATAAGATCATCTATTGTCATTTCATCTTAAGTATTGTACTTTAAAAATAATGCCTCTTGATAGATTGAATTGATACTGTTTATAATAGAGCTGGATAATTAATGGCTCCATCTAATCTTTATTTTTCACAAAACAAACAATTATTATTTTACATTAATTTATTAAATATTATCAAATGAGACCTATTCCTTGGTATGTTAGATTAGGCATTGATGTCAGTATTTTCACAATTCCCATATTAATATTAGCAAGTAATATACTTTAATGAATTTTTTAGGTTATCCAAGATTGGGTACACATTTCCTTAACAATAGAAGAAGAAAATATAGAAGAAGAAGTATATAAAAGTTTTGAATTTACTATAGATTTTGATGAAATCTAATACAGAAATGATAGTACATTATCAAGTGAAGAAGTGATAAACTTTAGATAGAGACTTGGATTTCAAGACCTTATTTGATTATGATCAAATATATTAATAAATAAATAACAATCATAATTATTCCTCTTTCACTACCATAATTCTCAATCAATTAAAATCAATTACTATTCATTTTCTAAGGATTATTTCTCATATTACCAAATACCCATTTTATTAATACTATTTAATTCATTTAATAAATCAAGTAGAGTAAACTTATAGCTTTCATTACTAAAGATACAACTATAAAATAGTAACACATCAATATAATTATATAACATCGGCACTTAATAGATATAATCTAAAATTCTAATATCTACTCTATATGACTTTATATTTCTCCCATTTGGAATTGGTGAAATACCTCTTAAAAAATAAGACTCTCCAAATGATCTTATGAAATATAAAACTTATCCAAATTCTTAATTTATTTATAATTCAGTATGCTATCCTCTTGGTTTATCTTAAATTGAAGGAATCGAAGCAAGAATATTAAATATATTGTTTTAAAGGAGCTGAAGTAATTCGATTACAGAATTCATGCATACTTACATACTCTTAATTGCATTTATAGCTACAAATGATATTATTGATAAAGAAGGAATACTGTTGATTAAATTCTATTTGATTTGAATGAATTTACATATCTTTCAATTCAAGAGGGACTAACAATGTTGAATTTTATTAATATTATGTCAAAGTTAATGATCTAAATTATGTTTAGTATTATTACATGGATCAACAATAGAAATTACTAATTTTAGACTTTTACTATTTCCTTATAGATCATTCAAAGAATAAACTACTTTCAATCCAATTTCACCATAACATGTTTCACAATCTACTATTAATTCAAAACCATCACACTAATCTGCTTTTTCTAATTGAGTTTAAATATTGTCTTAATATAGTTCCACTTAAGTAAAATCAAAATTAATAGCGATAAAATCATTTTCGTTTTCAAAGTTCTTTTTATAATTGTATATCTAATTTTAGTTTATTCTCATTTCATGTAAATATTTTTAAGTTAATTTTATAATCTATGGTTAATCCTCTTCATATTCATTTATAATTGGAACTTCCTAAGTTTCTTATTTTAATGAATTAATATTTATTTAATTATTTACTTAGATCTAGATCATTTCCAAAGTATAATGAATTAGGTTTTTTATTATGATCAATATTAATGTAAAATAGGGTCTTCTTCTTAGAATTTATTTTATAACAAAATTAATCACAATTATAATATACATCTAGATATTATGAAGTGATTCCTAAATTGGCAGCTCTATTACCCAGAAATAATGATAATATCATAAATTTGTTTATTTTTTTATTTAATCAAAATCGTCTTATTATCTATTTAATATTCTTACTTATTTTAATCCTAATAGACAATAGTCCATCACTTTATTAAGAATATTTCCTATAATCGGTATAAATGATTTGATTTAATTCTCAACAGGAAAATGTGATAATCATTCAACTAATACTTAGATATGATATACTTAAAAATTAAAGATTTCTTGTTTTTAACACTAAAAATTAATTTTTATCCTAATCTAATATTCTTAAATCAATTTACTTAATAGACCTAATTCTGAAGATCTTCCAACTATTTATAGAACCTTAGAAGTTAATTATGATGAAAAAGTGTTGCCATCAACTGTTAATGAAACTATGAGATTTGTTGCAGCCTAATATACTACTGCTAAATTGATGAGTCAAAGAGATCAGTGTCTCATTCAAAATCAGAGAAGCACTAGACTAAAGAGCAACCTAATTCAAAATTGTAACAGATGATGTATTGTATGAATCATAAAAAATTAACAATTTCAATTGGTCTAAATAAATCATATCTTTAATAATATCAATTATACAACTTATTTTTGGAAAAGAATATTTGGATGCAGTTAAAGATAAATAAGTTGCTCAATAAAAAGCAAAGTATTTTTTTGAATAAACAAGAGAACCTTAGAAGAAGCTATATCTATTAAATAGTAGGAAAATATGCTTAAGTAATCTAGGTATCTTGTAATTTAATGTTCTTTTAGTCTACTTGGATGTCAGTAGGATAGAATATGCAAGAGAAATATCTGCTATTCTAAAACTCACATAAACTTTTGTGATATTCTTAAAGTTGATTCTACTATAAATAAATGAATGTTATTAAATTATTTAAATTCAATTATTAAATATCATTAATTCATTTTAAACTACTTTCTCATTTTCCCTATAGCCATTCCTTCCTCTTTTATATTTATTCTTCTCCATGTAAAATGGCTCTTAATTTTTGTTTTTCAAATTAATTTTCCTCGACAAAATAAGCGTTTAATGCTTCATCCGCTTCTTTTGTCCAAAGTAAATTTTCTTAATGATTTAAATAAACATCTAAAAGTGTATTCAAATCTCCAGAACACTGATACATCCTTTGACATAATTCTTAATATGGTATTTTTAAGGTTTCTGATAATATTTTCAATGTAAATTTAAGTTCATTGTATTCATGTTTCTACTCTTCATCTAGTATTACTTATTCTTATTTAAAAGGATTAGTTTTTTTATGAGAAACATCGTATTTTGAACTAAAATACTGAAAATGAAGTTTACTTTGCAGACAATTAAAATTTATTATTGGGTTTTATTTTTTTTAAAGATTCTGGCTCTATCCTTTATTATTATTAATGTTATGGATGTTATTATACTTCTATTTCAGATGCCTATTAAGTTTATTTAATTATTTATTTTATAGGTGTTTAAATTGGAGTCTTTTTAGGGGATTCCTATTATTTAATTGGCTCTATATCTTATAATTTATAGGATCCATTCTCTAGAGTAAAAAGAAGATATCCATAAGCACCATATTGTTATAGAAATGAAAATATTGTTTATAAGTCATCTTAATTTATATTCTTCAAATACTCTCGATATCTATGTTAACTTGTATTATTACCTCCTCATTAGGATTGTTTTAGATCTTTTAAGTAGAGCTGATATTTTTTCAAAATGTTATGGTTCAATTTAATTGATTTTAGATAATTCTAATAGTAACTTCAAATCTTCATATATTGTAAATCGATCATTATCTTGTTTGTGATATTATTTTGGGTTATCAACTTCGTATTTAGAAATGGCTTTTTAGAATGCTTCAAAGTAAGTAAGCCCAGATTCATCAGAAATATGTTGAGCTTATCTTTTATTTTTCATTTTTAATAATTTGGAGGTTAATTTAACATAAAAACTTAATCATTTTACACTAAATTTAATTCAAAATTCTTTATTATATATTTCTAGAAAAGGAAGAATATCTTATCATATTTAAAGTTGAAATACAAAAAATATGATAGTATTATTTATTTTATCAATAATACTAATATATTTTGATTATCTATTTTATAAATTATTAGATTATGTCTATCCTTATATTTTACTAAAGCAATCAAATTTAAGTTTGTTTTCTATTAATAATTAAATTTTCAAAAAAAAGAAGTAAAACTAATTGTTTAACAACTATCAAGATTTATATATATATATATAAATTATTTAAATATATAGAAAGTTCTTAGAAATAACAATAGAGAATTCAAAATTTGTATTTTTAAAGCTTCAAATATAAATTAATTATATGGATAGTTACAATTAAATAAATACCTATTAGATCACTATGAGAACAATATAATAAGATCATTGTTATTATTAAATCCAACCTTCTGGTATAACTTAGAAATTTTCATCCTCAATGGAACTCATCAATTTTCCTTCCAACCAAGATCCTATTTTTTTCTTACCATCTTTCCCTATCATTAATCCTTTTCCATGTTACTTTCCATTCAACCATTAACCTTAGAATTATTTTCCATCAGGCCAATAGAATATACCAAAACCACATTTCTTATCATGCTAATACTCTCCATCATAACACTTTCCATCCTTCCATATATATTTTCCTCGACCGTGCATTTAATTTTTAACCCAACTTCCAGAATAAGACTGCAATATTTACTATACCATACCCTTCCATCAGGCCATTCATATATTCCTACACCTTGTATCATATTATCCTTCCATTCTCCATTATAAACACAGCCTTAATGCCATTTATAGCAACCTTTACCATGTTTTCGACCTCCCTTAAATTCTCCTTCATAAGCTGATCCATCTGGCCAGGTTTCTTTCCCAAGACCATCTGGTTTATTTGATTTAAATTAGCCTTCATAAATTGGACCTTTCAAATAAATAAGAGTTCCATTTCCTTCCATCATATTCTCAACAAATTCACCTTAATATTAGTCTCCATTTTCTAACCATAACTTTCCATAACCATTCGCTTTTCCATTTATTATACTTCCTTCATATCGAGATTTATCATCGAATATTATTTATTATTCCTTCTACTCTTCAATATATGCATCTTCCTTTACTTTTGAGATTACCCTTTAAAATTGTAGAATATCTGCTTCCATTGTTTTACATTAATATGCACAAGGCGGACTTTCTTGACTATAATAATTTAATACTAGCATCAAACTCTTAACTGTCATATAGGTCTTCTTCTGCAAATTAATCTTTTTGTTCAATACAATCATAGACAGCAGTAGATTCATCTTTATTTTAACAAGATGCACAACTCTAGCCCATCTTTTATATTAATTTATAATTATTGGTTTAATCTAGTATCGAATAATTAATTTTATATTATTTAAGTAAATTATACTGTTTTTAAACAACTCAATTTTCATCATAGTTCTACTAATTTTGATTAAATATTAATTATTCATTATATATTTTATTATATCATACATCATAGAAGATCACTACTCAAAAATTCTGAGCTATTTCTCCTGTTTAAATAATTTAATTATTATCAAAAATATAATACTTTATTTTGCTTTTATTTTCCATGATTGAAATACAACTTGATGATATATTCTTTAAATTCTTACTTTGAATATAATTATACAATTCTTAATCATAAAATAATGGAGGAATCAAAAATATATTATTCTCCAACAATTATCCTATTATTTTATCTGAAATTAGAAATTAAAAATTATGAGACAATTTTATTGTATTCTGAGGATACTACATTAAGCATAGAACAATCACAATCGCATTGAATTCCCTTAATAAATTTATCAGTTCTTCTAAAACATACTCAACTTCTCTATCAAATTGTAAGATTTTTTCCCCTATTGTTCTTGAAGTTCTTCTTTTATTATCTTTTTATCTTTAATGAATAGAATCAATTATAATTAGCCTTATTTTTCTATTCTTCTTTAGTATATATCTTGCTGAATTCAACTGAATAACCAAATCCTCAATTGAATAGCAATTTCCAACAAAAATATTCTCTGGAATATTAAAATTGTGTTGGGAATCAATATATAATATATCTTACTTTGGAATATCATCATTTGAGTAGAACAAATTTATAAGGTAATTTAAAAATAAATTCTTTTCCAATGGAGTGCAGTAATTAATGTAGTAAATTTCATTTTAATTAATTATTCTACTTCCAAAATACTAAATTAGCTTTTCATCTTCCAAACAAAATCGTTGTAAGGAAAATAACAAATCTCCCATAGTTCCTGAAGGTTCTATTATTTATTGCATAAAATTTTTTATTATTTTATTCCTTATAATTAATATTAGAAATAGAATTATTATTACACTGATATTTTGATTAATATTTCATTTTCTTTTAAAACTTATTAATTGATATCATCTAGTTTAAAGCATTTATATAAACTTATTCAATTTAATTAAAATTTACTTTGTTTATATTAACTATCTCTAAAATAATACTTTTATATACAAATTAATTTATTTACTATATAAATTTATAAAGAATTTTAGATTCAAATATTTGACCATAAAATGAAAATAATGACTTATATTAGGTACACTTTTTAATAAAAAAAATTTTTATTAGAACAATTGAAATATATAAATGTTTAAGATAATTGATATTTTTAAATAATCCTATAAATTTAATCTTTATACTAATACTAATATTATTAAAAATACTAATTTAATAGCAATAAATTTAAATAATTTAGTAAAGTTTTTATAATAAAAAAAGGAAAAATTGGGTCGATTAAAGAAATTAATAATATAAAATAATGAATCGGTCTGAATCAATCTAATTATTATAAAGATCCGAAGCTTTTTACTTTCCTTCTAAAAAACCTTATATGGAAAATATTGTATTATAAAGTATTAAGAGTTGAAAATATGAATTTTTAAAATACAATAAAATTTAAATCTAATATTTAATTAGTTTCTTGGAATAATCTATTCATACAATTTTTTTTATTCTTCTATGCTATAATCATCTTAAATATTTTATAAAATTACTTTTATTGCGGGAGCTATATTAAATTCTTTCGATTAAGCTTTAGTATTTTATTATATTGAAAATCAATATTTCCTAATTGATCATTTATGAGAGATGACTTTTAATCTTAAATTAAAGTCTTCTTCCAAATCAAAATGATTCATTTAAAAAAAAATATTTATAATCCTTTTTTGTATTTAAATTCGATTGAAAAAATCTAAATTAAATTTAATTAATCTCTATCCAATGAATTAGAAATTATATTATATTATTTTTCATTCTATATAAATTAAATAACTTAAAGTTATTAAAGAGAGATATAAACTTAAAACTTAATAGTTGAATTATAAGGGAATATAAAACAAAACATCAAAAAAATAATGACTGAAATTGTTTTTATAATTCTTATATGCCTAATGTGTTTCCTTCATAATCTTTCCTCTCCACAACTTTACCATTTCCACTCTCCATGTGATGAAGAAGCTTCATAGAAATACCACCTTCCGGTAAACCCTTCAGTAAGTTGATTAGCAATCCCTTCATAAATCAGGATAGCATACTCACCAAATTATCTTGATCTAACCTTGTCATCATAAGATTTAATCATAAAAATCTTCCATTAATTGTTGCTTTATTTAATATGACCATTATAAGTTGATTCTCCAATAGAATCATGTGCTCTTAATTTTATATCAATACAATGTTTATTTAATTCCTAATTATAATGTATTTCATATTCCTTTTATAATAATTTTATACTGCTCCACGACTTTTGAAAATAACTCATCATCCAATGAGAATTTTATAGAATTTATAATCCATATAATAGTTCATCTCTTGTAGATGTGTTATCATTTTAAATAAAATTTTGAAACAACCTTTATTTTGAATTTCTAATCTTGAAATAATCACATCTTAAATAACCAGATTTATAACACCACACAACAGCAAGAAGAACAACGATAGATGAGAAAATTGCAGTGATAGAAATCCAACAACTATCTGAACATTCTTCACCATCACCATCAGAACCATAATTATAATAACTAGAGCCACCACCTCCGCCACCTCCACCTCCACCGCCTCCACCTCCACCTCCTCCCATTTGTTGTGATGTTAACAATATATTTAGAGCAAGCATAACTAAAAGTTTCATTTAAAAAATTAATTAAAAAACTTGTTTAACCAAACACACAATTTAATTAGTTAAAATCAACAATTATGATACAAACACTATGATACAATAAACAATTACAATCTCTAAGTTTTGTTAAAATAATGTAAATCAATTNTATTAAATTCTTTCGATTAAGCTTTAGTATTTTATTATATTGAAAATCAATATTTCCTAATTGATCATTTATGAGAGATGACTTTTAATCTTAAATTAAAGTCTTCTTCCAAATCAAAATGATTCATTTAAAAAAAAATATTTATAATCCTTTTTTGTATTTAAATTCGATTGAAAAAATCTAAATTAAATTTAATTAATCTCTATCCAATGAATTAGAAATTATATTATATTATTTTTCATTCTATATAAATTAAATAACTTAAAGTTATTAAAGAGAGATATAAACTTAAAACTTAATAGTTGAATTATAAGGGAATATAAAACAAAACATCAAAAAAATAATGACTGAAATTGTTTTTATAATTCTTATATGCCTAATGTGTTTCCTTCATAATCTTTCCTCTCCACAACTTTACCATTTCCACTCTCCATGTGATGAAGAAGCTTCATAGAAATACCACCTTCCGGTAAACCCTTCAGTAAGTTGATTAGCAATCCCTTCATAAATCAGGATAGCATACTCACCAAATTATCTTGATCTAACCTTGTCATCATAAGATTTAATCATAAAAATCTTCCATTAATTGTTGCTTTATTTAATATGACCATTATAAGTTGATTCTCCAATAGAATCATGTGCTCTTAATTTTATATCAATACAATGTTTATTTAATTCCTAATTATAATGTATTTCATATTCCTTTTATAATAATTTTATACTGCTCCACGACTTTTGAAAATAACTCATCATCCAATGAGAATTTTATAGAATTTATAATCCATATAATAGTTCATCTCTTGTAGATGTGTTATCATTTTAAATAAAATTTTGAAACAACCTTTATTTTGAATTTCTAATCTTGAAATAATCACATCTTAAATAACCAGATTTATAACACCACACAACAGCAAGAAGAACAACGATAGATGAGAAAATTGCAGTGATAGAAATCCAACAACTATCTGAACATTCTTCACCATCACCATCAGAACCATAATTATAATAACTAGAGCCACCACCTCCGCCACCTCCACCTCCACCGCCTCCACCTCCACCTCCTCCCATTTGTTGTGATGTTAACAATATATTTAGAGCAAGCATAACTAAAAGTTTCATTTAAAAAATTAATTAAAAAACTTGTTTAACCAAACACACAATTTAATTAGTTAAAATCAACAATTATGATACAAACACTATGATACAATAAACAATTACAATCTCTAAGTTTTGTTAAAATAATGTAAATCAATTAATAAAACAGTAATACATTTTTTGTTCCCAATTTCATATTATTTTTGTTTCAATTAAGAACGCGACTAAAAAAAATTGAATTTATTTCATCTTATGTTAATTTATCTTTTAAATTACTTAATAACAATTAATTAGTAATAATTCACTATATAAAAAGAAGAAATTTTTAAGCAAAATCAAAATATAATCTTAATAGTCATAAGTATATAGTTTGATAATTTATATAAAAATATCATTTTTTTAAATACTTTATATATATATATATCATCATTATATCATTGCTATTATAATTATTAAGATTTTATTTATTATTATTATGAGTGTTGAGATGTCATTTTTTTGTAATGAATGTAAGTACGAAAAATTCCATATAAATCATCATATGAAGGAGTGTCAAACATTTCTGGTTGCATCATATTTAAAGCAAGATCAATAACTTTCTTATTTTATACAAAACATATAGTTTACTTATTTTTCATCTTTTTCTCTAACATAACTTTAAATAAATTGTTAACATTTTCTTTTTTTAGATATTAAAAAATCTTCTGTTGCTTTCATTAATGCTGAACTCTTGATATGTTATTTAATTACCTATCAATTATATATGTTCTTTTTTTTGGATTACTATAATGTGCTCCCAAAGAATGAAGAATTTCTTAAGCATATTTATTAAGAATTCTCCATAATCTATCTTTATAAGCTTTTTCTTTATATTTTAAATTTCTAAATACCCTTTTAACATAATTTACTAAAAATGAATTATTAAATACCTTTATTTGTTAATTCTTGATGTTTTTAAATAAAATGACAATATTAATGAGTTAAAGTAAAAAAATACCTTAATACTTTAGACACTTAAGTTTTTATTCTCCTTTTGTTATGAAATGTGTACATACACATTGCCATACATAATTTAAATAGATTTCTCTAATCAACAGTTTATCCACTCTCTTTTATTTTGATCATAGTTGTAGTTCTATATTTCCATACAATTAGTCTACCTTTGGCTAGATATTTACTTCTCTTTTTTGCTTCCTAATAAAGGATATCAACTAAAATACATCTAACATAACTTTCATATTTTCAGCTAAATGTATAAGTAGAAAGACATCAAACCAACTAATTTAAAATTTGATTAGGGCTTATCTAATTCTTTATTTAAGTTTTTATTAGTTTCTAATTTCTTTTAAAGCTTCATTTGCTTAATATTTAGATAATAAATCCATTTTTTTATCTTCACATAATTCTTTTTTTTTAGTAATTGCATTTTTTAATCTTTAATCTAATTAATCTTGTGATTAAATTAATTTTTCTTTTCTTGCTTCTCTAGAATATTATCTAGTATCAAGATTACTATTTATTTTATCTGTTTCATAACTCATATCAAATTTAGATTGTTTCCACCAATATTTATATTTATCATAGTTTGGTTTTTCTCTTTTAGGCTTTTATTTCTTTATTAATTTATTTCCATATATAAATGATATTGAAATTTCACAGTCTTCTTCAGAATATATTGCTATATATAAAAATTTATCTAAGAATTTATCATTATGCTTTTTATCTTAATATTTAAAATATTTTGATTAGATTACAGCTTCACAATTAAATTTTGTAGGAAATGAAGCAGTTGTAGATATATACATTCTATAATTAAGCAATCTTGATTAATCGCATTTTACATAAACCTATATTGGTGATTCTTAACCTTATATTTTAATTGAAAAGTAATGAAATCTAAATCTATTAATTTAGATCCAATCATTATTTTCTTATTTTAATTCAAATATTCTTAACTTTGATATATCAGAAACTATTTCATTATTTTACAGTTTCTTTTATTCTTCTACTGGAAAGAGTTTTTATAAATCAATATTTTCTAATGGTTCTGATTACTATATAATATCATAATTATTTGAAAATGTTTGCATCATTTATACTATTGAAGTCCTTTTATTTAAGAAATTATCATTTAAATCATATAATCTAGCAGATTTTAGTGATAAATTTGGAGATTTCACTAATTTTTTCAAATGCATGGATGAAGATTTGAAGGATTAAAAAGAAGTGAATCCAGAAGTTTCTCTATTTGTAGGTGATTCCATTTTTAATTCTATACCCTAGGATAATGTATGTCTATGCGTAGATTTGAATGAACTAAGAAAGCTATTTTGTTTTGAATTACGCAAAGTTATTTTAGTATTCATATTTAATTTAATCATTTTTTATTTGGTGTCTTGTCTCGACTTGAAAATTGACTCTAAGTTCCATTTACAAAAAAATTTCGAGAACTAATAGGCTAAACATTATCTAATACAGATAACTATCTTTTTCTTTATGTTTTTATTTTTACTGATTTTACATTGTTAACATAATAATTGCACTTTTGTAATTCTAAATTAAATTTATTGATCCATTAAAACTATTTACTTGATTTAGATTCATTTTTATTATATTAACTAAGTCTTCTTGCCATATGAATATTTTTTGACATTCCTAAATCTTTTTTTTCTTTGTTATATTCTATAATTGACACTTTCATTTTAACTTGACTAGGAAACATCAAATTAGTTAATAATGTTTTTCCTTCAATTGGCTTACTTAATTACTTTTTAGGAGCAGGAGATGAAATATTTATATTTATATCACCAACACTTCGATGTGAATTTATTTATTTTATTTACTTTGAGTTTGAAATAGCTTTTGTTGATGTTGAAAAATTGTACAAATGAGATGGAGATTTTGTTTTTGTTTCTCTATAGATTAAATCTTATAATTAAAAAGCCAATTCAAATGAGGAGGTCTATACGCATTAATTTTATTACATTATATAATAAAATTGAGAATTCTTAATTCAAACTTGACTATCATATAAATGTTTAGATAAATAATCAATTATATATTTTAATAGTTAAAATAAAAATAAAGTAAATATAAAGTTGTCTCTTATAATTCTATTTAATGAATTTTAATATTTTTATCTAATGAATTCTAATATTACTATTTAAATAAATAGTTATTAGAACACTTAAACTTATAGAGATTAATTTTAATGTATGCATTAAATAAAAATTATGTTCATTGCATTTTTTAAATAATTAAGGCAAGTAATGCTGTTATAATAATCTTAAATATATTCATAATTATTATGAATTCATAAAGTAAAAATATCATTAGTACAAAAAGAAAAGAAAAACTAATCGTAAGTTAAATTAATGTATATATTTTTCATTATTTTTCTATTTGGAAGTCTTTTTCTTTAATCTAAACAAGTAGTTGATGTTTCATATTTCCTAACAGATTTTCTAGATTTTCAATCAATGATTTCAACTTTTATACATATTAGGTATGATAAAAAGGATGATGTGAATTAACTTATTATATTAGATCCTGTATCTCATTAAGAACTTTATTGACAATATTTTTAGTTTTCTAATTTTACTTAGTTTTTCTTCTAATGCTTTTTGAATTCTTTAGAATATTTTTTCTAGTATTCTTTTATGGAATCGTTTGTGATTCTAATTAAAATATAGTAGGTTGAACTTCTTTAGAGAGAGTGAAGCAAGTATCGATAGAATAGGTTGTTAAGAAGGTTGAATGACAGGATAAT